ATATTTATTATCTAATATAAAGCTGCTACAAAAAATGAAAAGTGATTACAGGTCTGAATTCTATTCACTGGAGAATCTCGAAAGTGGGAGATATAAGGACCCTATCCATTAAATACTTTTCATTTATAGAAGACTTCAAAAGGACAGGAAGAATCAATTGGAGGAGTCCCAACTGTAGTAGGAGAAACCATTAACCACAGATTGTGAAATTAGAAACATTCAGCTTATACATACAGTAAGGAAGAATCTGCACACAGGTAAAATGAGCACAAGATCCACAGGAAAAAAGATCTTTCAAATATAAGCAATTCCATGTCATGAATATGGCAGTAAGTTATTTTAATTTCTGCAATCTATCTAGTCATAATTCACAATTCAGCTACCTTAGAGTTCCAATCCAATACCAGGATACAAACATGTTCAAGACATTTGAAAATTACCATTTCAGCAGAGAGTGTACCATTAGATTTCACTCCAGAGAGTAAAAAACACAGGAGGTCCAACCAATTACGTATAAATGGGTCCTTCAATTCCAACGAGTCCATAATCTCAGAAAAAGGGCGAAGAAGCTTAGTAGCACCAAGTGCTCCTTTAGGCCCCATTTCCACAAATGATTTCAAGAGTGAAGGAGCATATCTTGCTGCTGCTGTAGAAATTACACCCAGATCACCTCTAATAGCCAGAGGTGGTAAAGCCATTGCAGCAACAGACAATGGTAGAACTGCATCCTAAACCAATTCATACACCACATATAAGATGGATAAATAATGGCCAAAGATAAGAGACACATGAAAATATCATCTACTCAGGCATTAAGTTCCATTATATATTCAGATTATTTGTAGACAAGCTCCAAATTTTAGTGAGGATTTTGTATATCAAATGGAATCCCTAGTACTTGGTTCTGTCAAGGCTTTGATACCATATCAAACAATGATCTGGATGAATATCAGTGATAAATAAGTGAGCCCTTAAGGCTTACATGCAGTTGATTGAGGGAGTAATAGTGAACTACAATTACAACAACATAATAAACAAGATGTGCATATGTCAACAAAAAATGAATGAGATGTACATAACTTCCACAAATAGAATAGATTGTCTCACATAGTGCAGAGTAGAAAAGTAACTCATGTATGAAAGAAGTAAAATTTCTATGGAAAGTTTCAAAATAGGAATTACCATTCAAATTTCCTAGAAAAATAGAGGTTTCGTTGACATGACAATTTCCACAATGCCATTTTAATTATGGTCTGACATGATCCATGCACAATCATATTGTTTAAAACCATTTGCTATGTTCCACTTTATTTCACAACTTAGAACATAGATATGATAAGGCTGAGGTGTTCATATTTAAATAGAAACACCACAAAAAGTAAACAATAGTATTTTTTTTTTGGTGAAAAAGTAAACAATAATATTAAATTCAAATGGCATAATTAAGATAATAAGCCACAGCTGGGCTGAACTTACAAGAAGTATTTTCCATTCACGAACAGCATCTTTGCTGGCATACTTTTCAAGGTCCTACAAGACAAAATCTGAAAATCAGAGTTGACATATTATATACAAAAGAAGAATTGAAAGAGGACACTTGCTAAGTTTTGTTGTACATCCTTATCCTAAAATGCACAGATGACCAAATCTCTTACACGCAATAATATAAAAAGAAACTCAAGGACATAATTTTCTTTAAAACAATGAAAGTAAAAAAAAAAAAGGATAACTACAATAATTATCAAGTAAAAAAGAAAGAGAAATAACTACAATGGAATATTTGTCACTAAATGAACTACATGCCCATTTATAAACAAATTCTCAATTCACGCATCCATGTTGAACATTTAATATCACAATTGTATGAGGAGATAAAGTGAACTTTCAGGCTTCCAAAAAGTATGGAAATAGAAATTATACTACACAATAAATATATAAAACAGATAAATGTGACAACAGCATTTGATTGGCACATTACTATTTTGGAAAAATGGTAGTCCATAGATTAAGAACAAACTTAATATAGGAAAAACAGAATCACACATAATACGATAACAAAAATTTACAGTGGCTGAATAGTGAAGTAAACAGATGCTTTTCATGGATTAGCATATAAAGAAGATACAAGGATGAATGAACCATGAGAACAGAAAAGGCACAACGAGGAATAGACACCCACAATATATGATAATACAATACTATTAACCAGAATTGTTTATCCTCAAAACTTGAAGATGATGCAATTTTTTATTGACAACTTGTCTAACTCTTTAAGGACAGAAGATCCTTATTATACCATCTGGAATGCACTCTCCATTATTTTGTTCTTATGCATCCAGCGCACTGCAATAATTTTACCGATTTTTTTAATCCTAATTCTATCAATAGGTTTGACAATTTTGCTGTGATTAGGATAATCATCATCTTGTATCCGAAGTTTTCATAAATTTGTGAGAAAACACTAGTAATCAACCTTCAATGACCATCAAAGGACTGACTATGCAAAAGAATATCCTAATATGTGTTACAACTATGGCATAACATAAACATAGCATTCAACAAGCATCCGATGGTGATCCGGTATTGAAGGAAGAGTACAAGTTTTTTAATTTTTCTTTTGGAATAGGAAAAAGTGTCCATACCTATGACTTCAAAAAGCACACATAATTACAAGCAATGATTATGGAAATAATTTAAAAGAACTTTTAATAATCCATTCTCTCAAATATGATGGTTGATTCCTAACAGCTGGAATAAATTCACAAATAAAATAAAAGGAAAGCATGCATGCTCAAAAGGAATATACACCTTGAAAAACTCCGTAGGGCCTATGCGGGTCAAGAAATCTCCCTCGGGTAGATATACCATCCAGGAATCATAGGAAGCACTGGGAACTGACTCACCCAATGCATCAAGAACCTACATTGAGTAATACAATAAGGTCAGCTTATTTACAAGATCAAATTCGAGACATTCCTATTGTAAAAAGCCAAAACCCATTTCATACACTTCACGGCTTCATCCAACCAAAGGATTTCACAAGAAAAATTATTATATTGTCATCTTCTGGGTTTTGTTTTCACAGAGTTGAGATAATAATAAGGTCCACTTAATCCCAACTAATGTGAAAGCAATCGCACATTCCCATATTTCCCAATCCCCTTAGGAAAAAACTTCACAGTTTCCACCCCAGTTCGAGTTATCTTACTTAATTCTGAAAAGTTAACATCTTAAAGGCATCCCATGTTGTTTTTGTTTGTACAACCACTTGCTGTGAAGATCTTATGAGCAGTAATATATTTACCATGTGATATGAATAGATAGAAAGACGACAAGTTCATGTCTCAATCAGATCAAAGAGAAGCGAAATTCAAAATGAAAGCCCGACTAATTTGAGCGATGAATGGAGCACATATGCACACAATCATTGGATAGTGATGACAAGCATCAATATGGAAATCAACTGATACACAGTGTCTTGATCATGGGAAATTAATGGGTGGGTCCACATCCTAATATGAACAGAACAAGGACTGCGAAGGATTATCCACAGATAGCCTCAAATCATATCAACATTTCTAAGAAAAATAAATATACAAGTGACGAAGGTGGGGTTCAGTTTAGTATATATCAAGTCCTAGATGCCAGTGAGGTAATAAATAATAAGAGGGGCATATAATGATAAAAGAGAATAAAATAGAGTAAATGTTGAAGGTGCAGTGGTAGTGAAAGTATAATATTACCCAGTGTACTATGAAAAAGTGTAGTTCATTGGGTTTGTCACCTACCATGCCGAAATGGAAGGTGATGAAGAGAGTGGGATACACTAGTCAGGACATAACCCAATAGTCGGTCGTGCACCGTCTGCATCATTGTCCATCACTCCAATGGATGGTGATGTCTTATGATTTCCGACAGTTTATTGAGTTAAGATTAACTTTCCCATGGTTGAATTGACGCAATTTCAATTACCTGTGCAAGAGGATTTGCTTGAGGACCTCTCGACTGAAAACCAGAGAACAAAGATGGGCCTGAGTCAAATTTATAGTCCTTCACTTCAAAAGAATGGGCTGCCCCACCAGGTCGATCATGACTCTCTAAAACAAGAACATCTTGCCCATATCTGGCTAAAAGACCACCACAACAAAGTCCACCGATGCCACTTCCAATGACAACAACATCTGCCTCTTTCTTCCCTACAAATAGTTACAAAATAGTTGACATTTTTCCCTTGAACATCAGATAAATAGAAAGCAGAAGAGTCAGTGAAATCAGTTATTTGAGAGGAGGTAACATCATGTAAGTATGATCCATAAGTATCAATGGTTAAAAGAATGAGGACAGAATATCATCCATTGTGTTAACAAAATCCTTACCAAATATTGCAATCAAGCAATAAAAATAGCAATTGCGTGCAATCAAGCACATGTCAAGGTGGCTGCCCAATTCTAAATGGGTGTGGGCCCTTCTTTCCGCTTTTGGGGTTCCTAAACAGTGAGCTTCTCCATTTTAATGAGCAACATCTTTTAAAGCTGAATAGTCTCTGTTGATGTGATGGTCATTGAGGCAGTGAGGCCAAAATTATGAGGATTTAGTGCCTATAGGGAAGTGGAATTCCAATCCTATGAATGCAAACACGTGTGGGCGTGTGCAGGCATGCACAGGAGCATGAACACACACATACTTTCCTATGGCCATTACAAAATGGTGAAGAAAGGAACTGAATGCAGACCTCAAGAAGAAACATAATTCTTTAATGGGCATTCCATATTCGACTTGCATGCTTTTATCATACTAAGCCCTACATTTTCTGTAAAAAATGTGTATCATGTATGTCAAGGACCTATCCTTGCATAATTTTTAGTATTGTTTTCTAACATTACAAATATCTTTAAGTAATTACTACTCAAATATTTCACAAGAATTTCAAAATTTGAATGCATAGTTTAGCTTATGGAAAAAAAGAGGAAAGGAAATCCAATCAACTAGTTCGAATGGTGCTAAAACCTCTCTCAGTCTTGGGGTTAAAATGTTATACCATTTGTTGGTTTTGCTCTTCCTAGTGGTGCATCTCCATAACCAAGTTAAAAAAACACAGTACACCAATAAAAATGAATAAAACTAATCAAGAAATTTAAAACACCAGGAAAAAAGCAGGAAGCTTGCTCTACTTAAAATGAAGAGTGGGATCACAAATATGAAAAACATTAACAACATGTAAAATTTCACCAAATTTATTATAAATATACTGTTAATTCCTAACAAATTTTCGATATTTTCAATAAGAATAAGGTTCACATCTTCCTTCACCAATTCTCACCCATCATTTGATGGGACCTCATATCCTGGCTTGTTGATTCAAAACTAATACGATTAAAGAAAGCCATTTATGTGTGCGTGTGTGTGTGTGTGTATGAGAGAGAGAGAGAGAGAGAGAGAGATATAACGAACTAAAGAGGAATTCATCTAAAGACAATGAGACAGAGAGAGAGAGCATGAAAGCACATTAAAGTAAATTCATCTAGAGAGAGAGAGCGAGACCTGTGCGTATGAGAGAACAAACTAATGACGAAATCATCTAAAGGAAATGAGAGAGAGAAAGCATGACAACAAATTACAGTATCTTAGCACACCCATACACAGAGAGAGACCTGGGAAGAGGTCTTCCAGTGAAGCAGGGGAACCATTGGGGAGGACCTCTTGGGCGATGGTATTCCGCGCCAAAATGGGTTTCTTTCTTCTCTTAAACTTAAAGCCTGAGAAATTCAAATTTGGAGGGGAACCCAAAACCCCGGCCGCCATGAACAACAAGACCAGGGTAGAGAGAGAGAGCTTCACTGTAAAATTAATTAAATAATATAACAACCAAGTAATCAGTATGCAAAAGTCAATTATATCCCCAAGTGTAACTGACAATGACATATGTGTCCCTTAACGAGGTACCGCAGGATCAAATTGTACATTTGATCTTGAAGCTGAATCACGACGGATGTGTTCGATACCAAACTTTGTATTTACATTTACTCAAAAAAAAACGTTAAATTTTTTTTCTTTTGAACTTTAAGCCCCCATAAATAATACCATCTTAATCACTTGATTTCATATCTAATGACCAAAAATGATTGCAATCTCCATCTGATGAGTTAAATGGTCTATACTTTTCCTTTATTCGAGACCCGGGGCCTAATGAAAAAAGTAAAGCAATACCCATGCCACATTGAAAAATGCTATTTGGCAACAGAAACATATATGATGGCTTGAAAAATCTATTTGGCCCATGGGTATAGATTTTAAAGCTCTAAAAATAGTACAGATATGATCCTTGCACATTTAAAAATAAATATATCAGATACGATGTCACAAGAATATTCTTTAGCCTTAAAATACCTTCTTCTTTTTTTTTTTCTTTTTTTTTTTTTCATCACTATAAGGTTGAGGTGATCAATTTCAATTTGATGGTTATGCCCTGAATTACAATTCTCGATGAGATTTGAAGTACCACTTTATGCTATCCCTTAAGGCCTAGGCACTCATACTAGCCATTTTCTTTGAAAATAATTTAGAGCTAATAATATGGAATGCCCACTTATGAGTGTGGTTTGCATAAGGTTGCAGCCTTAAACAATCCAAATTAAGGTGCACCTCTAATTTTTTTATAAATATGAATTTAATATAAAATTTTTTAGGATAGTTTGAGAATTTATTTTCATATTTAATTATAAATTTTAAACTCTAAAAATTGTTTAAATCAAGTAGATCTATAAACACATAAAAAATCTTGAAAATGGATGGTCCAGATAATGTGTTGTAAAATAGGGACTCGAAATCTTTTTTTCTTTTCATATACATACATCTCAATGTTGAGATGATCAAGTAGAGGGTTTTCCAACATCCAAACAACCTTTTATGATGGATTTTTGATGTACACTTTTAATTCTACATTTGAAGGTTGCAACCTTATATAAACTTTCTTTTAAAGAATGAAACAGTTAACACAAGGTGTCAAATTTATATTGTAGAAGTAAGATGAACTTCAAAAACTACTAGAAATAGCTGTTTTGAAGCTAAAACTCCTCCAATTAATCATCTCGACCTCGGCATGTATGAACCGGAGGGAAAAAAAAAAACTTTCAAGTATTAAAAATAATGTATCTTTTAATAGATTATCCAAACCGCCTATTATCAATATTTTCATTTCTTTATAAAATCTACTTGTTCTGCACGACTTTTGAAACTTTAAATTTTGTAATTAAAATGGAAATAGATTTCTAGCCATGGCAAGGTTTCCAACACCGAGATTGTACTTTTGACATAATTTGAAGCTCCACCGTACTTTGATTGTATAGGGTGGATGGCTTATATAAACCTCGTCCTCCAAAAAATGGTTGTGGGTTTTAAAAACTTAAAATCATTAAAAAAAAATCTAAACTTTTTTACATTAAAGATAATTATCAGGTCATAAAAATCCCTAGCCGTGGGACTAATGTGCAATGCGGTCTAGCTAGACCACCATATACACACCCATAGCATTAAATATCGTGGAAGGTTTTTATAACTACCATTACATTTACGGAAAAGTTTATAGAAGGCTACACCTTAAATTGTAGAATTATATGAAAAAAAAATGCCACATATTGTACGTAATTTAGACGGTCTATTTTCATGATTTTTATGTGTATATAGATATGTTTGATTTGAACTATTTTTAAAGCTCAAAATTTGAGAATTAGAGATAAAAAAAGATTCCCGTGCCATCCTAAAAAATTTTGAAACTAAAATTGCATCTTACGACAAAATTTGGAGGTATGCTTTATTTTGATTGTTATAGGTTGTAACCTTATGCAAATCATACCATAACATTTAAGATATAAACAGTATAATAAATGGTATCGCACTATGCTTTTTTTTTTGCCATTGTTGCATTTAGCCTTCTAAGATGACTTAGAGAGAGAGAATATGTAAAGCAGTAGGGTTTTTGAGAACCCCTAGCTCGTGGAACTGAGAATCCCAAATACTGAGATCTATCGTGTACATGTAAATGCTTTTTTTTCGAGGCCAAGTCTCTCTCTCTTGAAGACCAATCTCATTTTGGAGATTCTTTTTTATAACTCCTATAGGGATGACCTTCGAATGGATGAGTATTATGTCTTTTTTAATTTTTTTATATAAATATTATTTTTTTGTTTTTCAAAAATATCTTTTTTCTTTTTACCATGATACTCTTTAAAAAAAAAAAATGTATATAGTGATTTAACCCTCACCAAACCTAACAAAAGGCTTCATGCCTTGTAAAGGGTAATTGCCAAAGTAAGACTAACGATTGGCTTTGGGAAATTGTAGGTTTTGAAAAATCACATCTTTTGAAGAAGTAGATACTGCAAGTATCGTGGTGACCTGACATCCGTATCACTCACTTTTAATTGTTATGTTTGAAGTAAAAAGATTACTAAACAGGTTCCAAATTTTGGGTAGCACTTCCTGCGATCAAACAGAGACGTACTTTAGTGTCTGAAATCGATGGTTTTAGAAGTCCACACTACCAAAAATCAAATGTGCCATAAGAGTAGCTCCTTCATCTTCAAAACACTCGCTTGCACTCAGTCTTCGTAGGGGAGTGAGAAGAAGAGATACATTGTAAAAAGAAACGATTATTTATTTTTTATATAAAAATGTTACAATTATTTTTGTCCCATAATATTACAAAATAGAAAAAAAAAAGGGGATCGAAGAGAGGTCCATGACATCTATTTTCTAACGAAGTAGGGATGTCCTTCCCATGGAATTGTAAGTTTGTATTGGTATCTTTTGGCTTCTCCTAAAGGATAATGCCGACCTGGATGGTAATTGGCCACGTTTCAGATGCAGCATTTGTACCTTTTTTTGTGGTAAAGGGTAATGTGATCAATGAAGCGTTCTCATGTGGGGGTGGCTATGGGACTGTCAGCTTTGGCCTAGGCCGGGCTTGGTCCGGCTTAGGCTGAAGATAGTATGGCTCGGTCCAGCTTAGGCTGAAGCTCGTATGGCTCGACAATGTGTCTGGTCTTTCGAAGGTCAGGTCAGGCATGCATCTATTTTTAGGCTATGATTTACCCTGACCTGTATGCAGGCTGATTTGGGCCAAGGAGTTCCGCCCATTACGATCTTCATTTTAAATTTGTCCTAAGTTCTCTTTTGTAATTGTTTTTCGGGGAACTTTTCAAATTATCCAGCAGAGATGAACGATCTTGAGAAAATTGCATAACCTTTCCAAAATAAACTTTCTAATCAATTTACCCAACCTAACTTTTTCTAACAACGTCTATCAAAAGCCATATTTTCTAATTCTCCCACGGACCGCCACAATGAAATGCCGGTCCAGCAAAATAATCGTTGGACCGCTTCTTCCACCTGCCAGACCGCCAGAATGAAAATGATTTGTTAAGTAAGGGAAAGGTATTTTCATAAAAAAAATGAACTTTTTTGTATTAAAGTGTTTGCTAGGAAACATGCTTTTGCCCATTCCAACAAAATAATCGTCATACCGCTTCTTCCACCTGCCCGTCGGACCGCTTCTTCCACTTGCCAGACCGCCCTCTCCAGCGAAAATTGGACTGTTTCTTCTACCTGCCAGACCGCCATCTCCAGCGAAAATGATTTGTTACGTAAAAAAATGGTATTTTCATCAATAATAATAATAATAATAATAATGAACTTTTTGTATTCGGAGTGTTTACTAGGAAAGATGGTTTTTCCGGGGAAATCGTTAGGAAAAGTTGAGGTAAATTACTTGGGAAGCCTATTTTTGAAGTCACATTCTTACACCGTAACCATATTTTTTATTTAATTTCGAAATATCCCTAACAAAAACAAGGTCTTGAGTTAGAATAGCAGCAAATAGGTAGATATTAAGTTTCCTTTTGATATAGGTATTTGATAAATTTCTTATTTTTCTTTGAGTTTGAGCATTTTCTAATCTTCCGATCTTGTAAGGATCACATTATGCACACACCTGCGCAACTTGGAACATGCGCTTATGGTTTTGGGCTTCTATCAATAAAGTCCAGCAAAAACACTCATGTCTAAGAGTTTTTGTAATTTTGACATTTTTTTCACCTTTCTTGAAATTTCGCTATAAAAATATTTTAGTATCACATAATATCCTACTTTCCCTTTTATCTAAAGGTTGTGGTTTCTATATGGTTACAACTTTAAACAATCCAATTAAGGCGCACCTCTAAATTTTATCACACGAAATTTTGATGTAAAAAATTCTTAGGATTATTTTAAAATATATTTTTATATCTAATTATAAAATTTTAAACTCCAAAAATTGTTAAAATCAAGTAGATCTATAAATTTATGAAAATCTTGAAAATGAACGGTCTAGATAATGTGTTACAAGATGTACTGGTTTTGAGACTCAAAATTTTTTATTTTTCTTATTCATATATCTCGATGTCGAGATGACCAATTAGAGGGATTTTCAATACCAAAGCAACCTTTTTCGACGAATTTTTGAGGTGTATATGTAATTCTACATTTTAATGTTGCAACCTTGTATAAACTTTTTTCTTATCTAACTTGTTTACACTTATGTAACATAGATACATGTTATTGGTTTTTGAAGCTGGCCAATATATTAAAGATACGAGACTTATCTAAGACTTTAGTAATTATTTGGGCACTTCTTAGTAACCTTACTTGAAATTTCTGGTGGAGAGAGATTTCACTTTCTCTTGCATGTGTTTCATGCAAAACCGTGACATGTGATAATGCCAACTCAATGCTGCTACACATTTGGGCGAATTTGTTTTTGCAAAAGTAGTTTCATACCTCGTAAATTATAAAAATTGATTTTCTATTTCTTAAAAACTCTCCCAAATAAAGCTGCAAAAGTAGTTTCATACCTCGTAAATTATAAAAATTGATTTCTATTTCTCAAAAACTCTCCCAAATAAAGCTCTGTGCGGAAAGAAAATTTCTTTACTCCCTAAGGAGTATACTGTCCATTTACGCCCTCAGGTAAAACCCGAAGTAGGATTAATTTTGGGGATATAATGTCTTTAATACATTGATTAACCTCAAGAAAAAATAAAAAAATCCTAATTGCACTCTCTAGGAACTTGGAAAAAATACTGTCTCAAGATTGAATAGAAACCATCCAATTTTTAGAGGGTGAGATCTAAGTGGTAGAAAATTCAAATTTTAAATTTATTTTTTTGAGAATAATCATATAGTGATTTTTCCAAAATTTCATATTGAAAAAAATCCTCCCAAATAGGTCATCTGAACGAGGGAGTAAGTAAACTATGCACCCGAGTGAGCATACTATACGTGCTCTTTAACAAACATGTCTTAGTGCCATATAATATCCAATCTCCCCCATTTATCTAAATCAAGTATAAATGTGCGATGTCTTAAGGACAATTTTGATGTTGGTGTCTATAACATTCCATATCTAGGTCATAAGTGTCTATATTTTTATAAAGTAGGCATACACACATACATAGAGAGAGAGAGGTGTTTAATAATGCACAAGAAGAAAGAACAGTGAGAGAGAGAGAGAGCAATTTTCATAAAAGCAAAATCGAATGTTGGCTCAGGCATCTCCTGAACCAAGCCAAACTGCTTATTTATGTGGCGACTCGCTAAAAACATATATAGAGAAAAGGGAAAAATTCGCCATGAGACTAAAGGAGATACCCAAATCCTAACAGTGAACTAGAAGTTTCACTATGGTGAAACAACCTGGGTCTGTTCCGTGGTTGGGGCCATCTGAAACAAAGAACCCTTGTCTCAAGCCCAACTCGTACGATTACAAATCGGCTAGTCAATACTTGAAGGAAAAAATTTATATAAGTGCGAGGCTCTAAACAATTAAATTAGGCTACAAGTCAAAAAGTTCACAAGAAGAGGCTGTTTTGATGCTCAAATATCCTCAAATTGATCATCTTGACCTTAAGATGCATGGACTTGTGAAAAAAATGGATTTCAAGCTTTGAAAATAGTGCATCTTGTAATGCATTTTTTGACTGTCAATTTTCAGGATTATAAAGTTTTCATTTATCCGTTCTAAAAACAATATTTTTAAAGCGTTAATTTTTATAATTAGATATGAAAATATAGTTTAAAGCTATTACAAAGATTTTCAGTATTGAAACCAGATTTCTCGATACTATTTGAAGATGCATTTTACTTTGATTGTTTAGAGCCTCGGCTCTATGCAAACCGCACCCATATTTAAAACCACCAAGAGGAAGAACATCAATTTGGCCTTGTGGGTCCCAATTGGTTCGTATTTGCCACCTCTCCAAAAGAGTACATCAAAACCATGTAACCTTTCAATTATGTCCAATGTCAAAAGAAATTTCAAACACTATTTTGTTAACGGTAGTATATTTCAAATATAGATACTGTGGACCACGGAAAATGACCCAAAACTTTATGTTTTTCGCTGGATAAATCAAACTTCCTAGCTTTTCCTTAAACCCAAAATCGTCCTTTTTTAGTATACAATAGCATTATGAATAGTTTATGGGTAACAATGAAATTGTCTAAGTATCTATAAGCTTTGAGAAATATAGTATTATCATTTATTTGGATGGTAATGCTGATGTTTGGGTGTCAAGATAACAAAGATATCTCAAAATACTTAGAAGACAACCTTATGGAATTGTATTGCAATTTTTTTTTTTGAATTTGGGTATAATTCAATTTTTATAGAGTAGAAAATAAAGGAAAATTTTCCATCCCCGAGAAGAAACTTCCTCGCTCTTCTGATTCTCCAAATATATAAATAGAGTGCAATCTCTATAGGGCCCCAGCTTTACAAAATTTGGTACGGCCGCACCGCAAAACCCCATTAAGACGTGGCGAAGATCCTTATAATGGCTCTTTAATGTCTTTTAACTATTGACTATAGAATTTGAAGCTCTATAATAGTAGCGAGCTAGGGGTTTACGAACATTTGAATTGGATGATCAATTCTTAGTATCATCTAAGTTGAAGTGATCCATGGTTGTTGAGATCAAGACAATCTATTTATAGGTTTTGCAACATTGGAGTCATTTTTTTTAGCAAAGTAGTTAAGTAATAGATTTTGAAATGTGACTTTATGTAGCTGCAGCCCCATAAAAAAGCTTCCCATAGATAAAAGGAGAAACTCGTCCAATCGCTCTTAAGAGTTGCAGTATTAAAAATTTAAACCCATTCACTATTTTCTTTTATCTATTTTCAAATATTCCATCATTCTTTTGATTGAACCTCAAATAGCAAATTACATGGGCTGTTGGGTTGGAGAATTTATCCAAGCACATTAAAAAGTATCAATTATTTACCGGTTCACCAATTCAGCAAATAATACATAAATATCAACCAAATGATCTCATGATTATGGCTTTTCAAAATTAAATAAAAAAGTATTTAGTTGTTAAATAGTGATCCCTCATCTGCTTTTTGATAAAGTTTCTTTGAAGTTGAATATTCATCAAATCACACCTAAACAAAAGTGTTAAATAGTTCAACTCTAAGCCATGGTTTGATAAATTTCCATAAGAAAACACCTATTAAGAGACAATCATGCCTTTAACTTTTTTGAAATTCAATAAAAAGATGTCTATATAAATTTTTTCATTTTTTATTTGCATAAGAGTACTTTAATAATTATATTTAAGTGTGATGGAGACATCATGATGCGGTGGGTGGTAGATGGAGGTGCATACTTTAATAGCTTAATTAGATGTCCTCCAACTTCACACGCCCTTTCCTTGTTTTCATTCCTGGATCTCTCACACCACATTTGAACTTTGATCTGCAATGTGAATAAACAGTAAAAAGGAAGTGTGTTTTGGTTGGGGGAGAGGCTATTGTGGCCATTAAAAAATAGAGGGACAGAGGTGGGAAAGGGGCTGGGTGGCAACGGGTTGGGTCCGGTTGGACCCAGACCCGAATAGTCTTCGGGTCCAGATTTTGAACCCGGACTAGACCCAAATGCTATTCGGGTCCAAATTTTGGACCCGGACCTGATTCGTTAGGTCCAAAAGTTTGACCTATCCTGTACCCTTCGGGTTGAGCCTTTTGCCATCCTCATTATGAGTTTTTTTTGTTTTACAATCATATACCAATATTATTGATAACAAAGTCACAATCACCCCCATTAGTTTCAAGCCTTCTAATTTGTCGTTTAATAGCTAAAATTGACTACGAGTTCTTATTGTATACGATCTTTAATACACCTAAACGAATAAGCCTTCAAGTATTTTATATCCAACAGTTTATTGATACGGATCGGGTACAGGTCGATTCCAATCAGACCTAGACCCAAACCCGTATAGTGTTTGAGATCCATGTTTTGGACCCGACCCACCAGTTCTAAATATTAGACCCATACCTAGACCCATGTCGAGTATACCCTACGGATCTCAGATTGGACTTGGGTCCATTGCCAACTCTACGGGGTCGTGGTGGTCGCATCCTTACACCCACTTTGTTGTTTCCATTCCAATGGTCACGCCCTACAAATACTTAAAAAAAAACCCAACTCCTAAGCTTTTTGAAAATGGGTGAGGTTTGTACAAAGTATTAACCTTATACTGTTGACATAACGTGCACCTGAAAATTATGCCAAAAATGTAGTTTCTTGTTCGATGATATGAAAATCTATTGTTGCCTCTAATTATGAAATTTAAAATTTTAGAGATGGTGATGATCATGCAAATCCATGCGTACTTCAAAATCTTAAAAATAGACGGTCCAGATAATGCATTAAAAGATGAACTATTTTAGAACTAGAGTTCATTTTTTTTTATATTTATGAATCTCAAGGTTGAGATGATTGATTTGACGGTTTTCCAACATAACAACCTTCTCTAATAGATTTTTTAAGTGCACTTACTCGCATGGCATAAGGTTGACACCTTATATAAACTTTTTCCTTTAAAAATATATGGGTGGATAGGACTCGTCTTTCCTATTGAATTATCCCCATAAAAAAGAAAAAAAAAGAAGAGATACTCAATTAACAAAAAAAAAAGAAAAAAAAAAAAAAGAAACAGAGAAATCTTTCAAAGTTCAAACCCTAAAAGATATCTTTCAAAGTTCAAACCCTAAAAGAGAGAGAAGACATTCAAAGGTTCTAGACACCTAGATAGAGAGAGAGAGAGGAATAAAGAATGCTTGCATTCAATGAGACGCATGGACAGAGAGAACAGTAAATCACACCCTTCCGCATTTTTGCATTGAGTCATTTTCGCACATGGGAAAGAGAATCAAGTAACTCAAGCTTGTTTTCTCCCTCACAAGTAATTTTGTGAAGGAAAATAGTTTGATAGGGCTGTAATCCTATTAAAATAAGTAAAGTCTTATCTCATACCTCATTGTAAATTGTAATTCAAGTTTTGTAAAATCTTTAATTTTGATCATTTGGGCTTGAACATTATGAAAAAGTAAAAAGATTTGAAACTCTAAAAAACATCGCACATTGTAACAAATTATCTAGACGATCTATTTTACCTTAAAAATAATTGTTCATAAATCCACTACATATCGTGAGATCTTCGATCTATTTTACCTTAGAAATAATTGTTCATAAATCCACTACATATCGTGAGATCTTTCTCATATTTTTAGTTTCTAAATTTATTATCAGTGTTAACAATTGATTTTAGAAGAGATTTTTATCGCTAAAAAGTGCTTTCAAGGATTTGAGGTGAGGCTTTATTTTGTCTCCATAAAGCGTAGGCCTAACTTCATTCTTTTGGAAATATATGACCATATGAATGTAGACGGAGAGGGGCGGGGTAAAATTGCAGTAAACCAGGATTTCCCTACACCAACCAAGAGAGAGAAGAGGGGTAAATTATAATCCACCAAGTTTTCCACAGAGAAAGAGAGCAAGTGAATTCCAATTGACCAAGTTCTAGAGAGAGAGAAATGGGTAAATTGCAATAAACCAAGTTTCAGAGAGAGATGGGTAAATTGCAAAAAACCAAGTTTTTGTCCACGCCCAACAACAATGGTTGCACATTAATGCAAGGTGCGGGAACAGTGGGTGGTCATCGCCTCAGCATTCACTTTGAAAAAAACCCACTTCATATTTTTGCACCAAACCCCATAATTTCTGCAGATTCTTGCTTCTATTCGCCAAATTCTTTCCTGTTTTTTTATCATTGTTTTTGTTCTTATTATGTGTCAATGATGGATTTATAAGCAACGCACAACCCAAAGGTACCTCTGGTTTCTCTCTCTAGTTTCAGAGATTTTCTCTGGTTTTCTCTCTCTAGTTCTAAGAGGTTCGAATGGGAAACAATCTCATATGCATACCCAGAAAAGATGGGAAAGATATAAGATCAGAGAGTAGAAAGAAAGTGAGATCACAAAGGAAGATGAGTGTTGAAGAGGAGTTGATTCATAGGCAAGCTCTGGCAATGGCTTTTCACCAGCATCAGTCTCAGTCTCAGAGGTTTGATGGTTCGATGTCTCGACGAATAAGCAAACAGGGGGGTCCTGGGACCTCAAGTTCTCGACGCCGAAATCTCTCAGATTCCTTCTCTAATGGAAAACTGGTGAGAAATTACAATACATACGTATTTGTTATTCTCTTCCTCCCTCCCTCCCTCGCTCTCTCTCTTTCTCTCTCTCTCTCTCTCTCTCTCTCTCTCTCTCTCTCTCTCTCTCTCTCTCTCTCTCTCTCTCTCTCTCTCTCTGTCTCTCTCTCTCTCTCTCTCTCTCTCTCTCTCTCTCTCTCTCTCTCTCTCTCTCGTC